AGCACAGTGCTATTCAGTAGGCTTATACTGCTTGTCAAAGAAGATCACAAAGCTCAACAAGTAGAGTGGACCCTACCTTAACAACCTAGCTAGGGACTTGAGGCATGCTTCAGTACATGAAAAATATATTGCGCAAATTAAAATTTTCATATATTAGCCCATGTTATAAGTTGAGATGAGGACTGGGAGAATATTCCACATATAATTCCTATTAATTTTTTATTCATAAAATTGAAAAAATATCTACTTTTCAGAGATGAGTCCTTTAAATAGATGAATAGTGTCATTATACCTTCATTTTATGAGTGCCTAAAACAAAAAAAAATTTAAAAGTTATTAAAGTATCGAGAGAAGGTGTTAGGAAATGTCACTTATGTTTTTGCTATTGTAGGGTTGAAGGGTTATGGCATCCCATATGCTGTTGAATTGTTGGGTTGAAAAATTTGGCCCCTAGTCCATCAAAATCTTCAACCCAACAATAGTAGGCCTAGGGGCCAAACTTTTATTTATACATATATATATACGTATATATTGGTAGTAGGTTGGTAGACAGCAACCACCCAGGGAGGTACTACCGTCCTGCCAAGTGAGTGTAAAACGAAGCCTGTGATTGTTTTACATGATGGTAGGATTGCTGATGTCTTTTGTCTGTCTCATAAATATGCAAGATTACAGGCATGTCTTGCTACTTCTTACACTTAGGTCACACTACACATACATGTACACATTTATTTATACACACTCATCTGAGTTTTCTTTGATTTTATCTTAATAGTTCTTGGTCTTATTAATTTTCCTTTTATATCCATGGGGAAGTGGAATAAGAATCTTTCCTCCGTAAGCCATGCGTGTTGTAAAAGTCAACTAAAATGCCGGGAACAATGGGCTAGTAACCCCTTTTCCTGTAAAGATTACTAAAAAGAATAAGAAGAAGAAAATTGTCAAAGTGGGAAGTCTGAATGTGCGTGGATGTTGTGCAGATGATAAGAAAGAGATGATTGTGGATGTTATGAATGAGAAGAAGCTGGATGTCCTGGCTTTAAGTGAAACAAAGCTGAAGGGGGTGGGAGAGTTTCAGTGGAGAGGAATAAATGGGATTAGGTCAGGGGTTTCAAATAGCGTTAGAGCTAAAGAAGGAGTAGCAATAATGTTGAAGGATAAGCTATGGCAGGAAAAGAGGGACTATAAATGTATTAATTCAAGGATTATGTGGAGTAAAATAAAGATTGGATGTGAAAAGTGGGTTATAATAAGCGTGTATGCACCTGGAGAAGAGAGAAGTGTAGAGGAGAGAGAGAGATTTTGGGAAATGTTGAGTGAATGCGTGGGGAGTTTTGAATCAAGTGTGAGAGTAATGGTGGTTGGGGATTTCAATGCTAAAGTGGGTAAAAATGTTATGGAAGGAGTAGTAGGTAAATTTGGGGTGCCAGGGGTAAATGTAAATGGGGAGCCTTTAATTGAGCTATGTGTAGAAAGAAATTTGGTAATAAGTAATACATATTTTATGAAAAAGAGGATAAATAAATATACAAGGTATGATGTAGCACATAATGAAAGTAGTTTATTAGATTATGTATTGGTGGATAAAAGGTTGATGGGTAGGCTCCAGGATGTACATGTTTATAGAGGGGCAACTGATATATAGGATCATTATTTAGTTGTAGCTACAGTTAGAGTAAGAGGTAGATGGGAAAAGAGGAAGGTGGCAACAACAAGTAAGAGGGAGGTGAAAGTGTATAAACTAAGGGAGGAGGAAGTTCGGGTGAGATATAAGCGACTATTGGCAGAAAGGTGGGCTAGTGCAAAGATGAGTAGTGGGGGGGTTGAAGAGGGTTGGAATAGTTTTAAAAATGCAGTATTAGAATGTGGGGCAGAAGTTTGTGGTTATAGGAGGGTGGGGGCAGGAGGAAAGAGGAGTGATTGGTGGAATGATGAAGTAAAGGGTGTGATAAAAGAGAAAAAGGTAGCTTATGAGAGGTTTTTACAAAGCAGAAGTGTTATAAGAAGAGCAGAGTATATGGAGAGTAAAAGAAAGGTAAAGAGAGTGGTGAGAGAGTGCAAAAGGAGAGCAGATGATAGTGGGAGAGGCACTGTCAAGAAATTTTAATGAAAATAAGAAAAAATTTTGGAGTGAGTTAAACAAGTTAAGAAAGCCTAGGGAAAATATGGATTTGTCAGTTAAAAACAGAGTAGGGGAGTTAGTAGATGGGGAGATGGAGGTATTGGGTAGATGGCGAGAATATTTTGAGGAACTTTTAAATGTTAAGGAAGAAACAGAGGCAGTAATTTCATGCACTGGTCAGGGAGGTATACCATCTTTTAGGAGTGAAGAAGAGCAGAATGTAAGTGTGGGGGAGGTACGTGAGGCATTACGTAAAATGAAAGGGGGTAAAGCAGCTGGAACTGATGGGATCATGACAGAAATGTTAAAAGCAGGGGGGGATATAGTGTTGGAGTGGTTGGTACTTTTGTTTAATAAATGTATGAAAGAGGGGAAGGTACCTAGGGATTGGCAGAGAGCATGTATAGTCCCTTTATATAAAGGGAAAGGGGACAAAAGAGACTGTAAAAATTATAGGGGAATAAGCTTACTGAGTATACCAGGAAAAGTGTATGGTAGGGTTATAATTGAAAGAATTAGAGGTAAGACAGAATGTAGGATTGTGGATGAGCAAGGAGGTTTTAGAGTGGGTAGGGGATGTGTAGATCAGGTGTTTACATTGAAGCATATATGTGAACAGTATTTAGATAAAGATAGGGAAGTTTTTATTGCATTTATGGATTTAGAAAAGGCATATGATAGAGTGGATAGAGGAGCAATGTGGCAGATGTTGCAAGTATATGGAATAGGTGGTAAGTTATTAAATGCTGTAAAGAGTTTTTATGAGGATAGTGAGGCTCAGGTTAGGGTGTGTAGAAGAGAGGGAGACTACTTCCCGGTAAAAGTAGGTCTTAGACAGGGATGTGTAATGTCACCATGGTTGTTTAATATATTTGTAGATGGGGTTGTAAAGGAAGTAAATGCTAGGGTGTTTGGGAGAGGGTGGGATTAAATTATGGGGAATCAAATTCAAAATGGGAATTGACACAGTTACTTTTTGCTGATGATACTATGCTTATGGGAGATTCTAAAGAAAAATTGCAAAGGTTAGTGGATGAGTTTGGGAATGTGTGTAAAGGTAGAAAGTTGAAAGTGAACATAGAAAAGAGTAAGGTGATGAGGGTGTCAAATGATTTAGATAAAGAAAAATTGGATATCAAATTGGGGAGGAGGAGTATGGAAGAAGTGAATGTTTTCAGATACTTGGGAGTTGACGTGTCGGCGGATGGATTTATGAAGGATGAGGTTAATCATAGAATTGATGAGGGAAAAAAGGTGAGTGGTGCGTTGAGGTATATGTGGAGTCAAAAAACGTTATCTATGGAGGCAAAGAAGGGAATGTATGAAAGTATAGTAGTACCAACACTCTTATATGGGTGTGAAGCTTGGGTGGTAAATGCAGCAGCGAGGAGACGGTTGGAGGCAGTGGAGATGTCCTGTTTAAGGTCAATGTGTGGTGTAAATATTATGCAGAAAATTCGGAGTGTGGAAATTAGGAGAAGGTGTGGAGTTAATAAAAGTATTAGTCAGAGGGCAGAAGAGGGGTTGTTGAGGTGGTTTGGTCATTTAGAGAGAATGGATCAAAGTAGAATGACATGGAAAGCATATAAATCTATAGGGGAAGGAAGGCGGGGTAGGGGTCGTCCTCGAAAGGGTTGGAGAGAGGGGGTAAAGGAGGTTTTGTGGGTAAGGGGCTTGGACTTCCAGCAAGCGTGCGTGAGCGTGTTAGATAGGAGTGAATGGAGACGAATGGTACTTGGGACCTGACGATCTGTTGGAGTGTGAGCAGGGCAATATTTAGTGAAGGGATTCAGGGAAACCGGTTATTTTCATATAGTCGGACTTGAGTCCTGGAAATGGGAAGTACAATGCCTGCACTTTAAAGGAGGGGTTTGGGATATTGGCAGTTTGGAGGGATATGTTGTGTATCTTTATATGTGTATGCTTCTAGACTGTTGTATTCTGAGCACCTCTGCAAAAACAGTGATAATGTGCGAGTGTGGTGAAAGTGTTGAATGATGATGAAAGTATTTTCTTTTTGGGGATTTTCTTTCTTTTTTGGGTCACCCTGCCTCGGTGGGAGACGGCCGACTTGTTGAAAAAAAAAAAAAAAAATTTTTTTTTTTTTTTTTTTTTTTTTTTTTTTTTTTTTTTTTTTTACTAAATGGTTGTCTCCCACTGAGGCAGGGTTATCCAAAGAAGAAAACACATTCACCATCATTCATTCACTTGCTGTATTTCCAGATGTTTTGCTGACATCACAATTCAGATTACCATTCAATATCCCCACCCCTTTTTCAGGGTGCAGGCACTACCCTTCCCAACTCCAAGACTCGAGTCCAGTTAGGAAGTTTTCCCTGAATCCCTTCCTAAAAGTTACCCTATCATTCTCCAACAGCGTTCTCATTAAAAACCACTTTGGCTCCATGCACTTCTAACATGCTCACACAAGCCTGCCAAGTATATATTTAGGAATGCTTGTGTACATACTTAGGTATGTATACAGTGGACCCCCGGTTTACGATATTTCATTCCAGAAGTATGTTCAGGTGCCAGTACTGACCGAATTTGCTCCCATAAGGAATATTGTGAATTAGATTAGTCCATTTCAGACCCCCAAACATACACATACAAACGCACTTACATAAATACACTTACATAATTGGGCGCTGATTGTAAACCGGGGGTCCACTGTATTTGTGTGTATATTGTGTGTATTTATGTATACATGTATTTGAGTGCATATTTGTGTTTTTAAAGGAGGGGTTTGGGATATTGGCAGTTTGGAGGGGTATGTTGTGTATCTCTATACGTATATGCCTCTAAACTGTTGTATTCTGAGCACCTCTGCAAAAGCAGTGATAATGTGTGAGTGTGGTGAAAGTGTTGAATGATGATGAAAGTATTTTCTTTTTGGGGATTTTCTTTCTTTTTTTTGGGTCACCCTGCCTCGGTGGGAGACGACCGACTTGTTGAAAAAAAAAAAAAAAAATTGTGTTTTTTATGTACTCGCCTGTTTGTGGTTGCATAGCTCCTGACCCCTGGCATGCATGCATATATGTATGTATATACAGTGGACCCCCGCTTAACGATCACCTCCAAATGCGACCAATTATGTAAGTGTATTTATGTAAGTGCGTTTGTACGTGTATGTTTGGGGGTCTGAAATGGACTAATTTACTTCACAATATTCCTTATGGGAAAAAATTCGGTCAGTACTGGCACCTGAACATACTACTGGAATGAAAAAAGTTCGTTAACCGGGGGTCCACTGTATATGTATTTGATCTCCATGGGGAAGTGGAACAGAATTCTTCTTCCGTGAGCCATGCGTGTCGTAAGAGGCGACTAAAATGCCGGGAGCAAGGGGCTAGTAACCCCTTCTTCTGTATATATTACTAAATTTGAAAGGAGAAACTTTCGTTTTTCCTTTTGGGCCACCCCACGTCGGTGGGATACGGCTGGTATATTGAAAGAAAGATATGTATTTGAGAAACAGAAATACCAAACCCAAGATAAACACCATTTATTTTTGAACTATCAAACTCCCTTCTGCTTGATAATTGATCTTTTATATTTTAGCACTGATAAGGTTTGAAATTACAGAAGTTTTGAAAATAGCTGGAGTTTACCTGGAGAGAGTTCCGGGGGTCAACGCCCCCGTGGCCCGGTCTGTGACCAGACCTCCTGGTGGATTAGAGCCTGATCAACCAGGCTGTTACTGTTGATGTTTACATGGGCTTTGGTATTTCTGCTCCTCATATGGTTGAGATTCCCAAGAGGAAGATCTACTGCTGAAGCTATTTTACACCCAAGTTTATCACAGCACCAAAATGCGATTAATGTCTTTTCAATAAATATTATTGTGATGCTTTGAAGTGCTGAAAAAGTTTAAAACAAAGAATGGCTGAGGCATGAAAATGTTTGTTTAGATTACTATGGCCTGAGGAAAGCTGGCTGCTGATTCTGGATCAATACAGCATATGATATAGTGGCCATATAAATCTTGACAGACAACCCACAGTCGCCAGCTGATTAAACATAAGCAGATGACTTGGTCGTCTATTGCTCAGTAGTTGCATAACCATCACCAGACTTCTATATCAACAAAGGAAATGGAATTTAGAGTAGGACAAATTGTTGTCACTATTGTAAATGAAATATTATACATACAGTGAGATATGAGAGGTGTCAGCTAATACTGTAAAACAGACAACTCAGAGCTGTCTACTGCTCAGAGCTACTTAACCATTTCCAAACACTTGTATATCAACATGTAACATGAATAAAGACTTTAAGGTAGGGTAAAATTCATTCTTGTTCACTTGTGGCATATTTTAAACTTCTTTCTTTCTTCTTTCAACACACCGGCCATATACCACCGAGGCGGGGTGGCCCAAAAGGAAAAACGAAAGTTTCTCCTTTTACATTTAGTAATATATACAGGAGAAGAGGTTACTAGCCCCTTGCTCCCGGCATTTTAGTCGCCTCGTACAACACGCATGGCTTGCGGAGGAAGAATTCTGTTCCACTTCCCCATGGAGATAAGAGGAAATAAACAAGAATAAGAACTAGAAAGAAAATAGAAGAAAACCCAGAGGGGTGTGTGTGAATATATATATATATATATATGCTTGTACATGTATGTGTAGTGTGACCTAAGTGTAAGTAGAAGTAGCAAGATATACCTGAAATCTTGCATGTTAATGAGACAGAAAAAAGGACACCAGCAATCCTACCATCATGTAAAACAATTACAGGCTTTCGTTTTACGCTCACTTGGCAGGACGGTAGTACCTCCCTGGGCAGTTGCTATAATATATAGTTACTGACAGCATATTAGCCTTTCACATGACCCCTGGAACACTGTAGCTGTTCATTTTTGGAAAGAATAGACATACTGCCTCAACCACCAGCTTCCCCATGGCCCTACGTAAGTAACTTTATTTAATAAAGTTTTTATTTAGGTTCTGGGTACATATGTATTTCTAGATCAACAAGCAATGAAAAACATTAGAGGGTGTGCCAAAGTATCAATTTTGATGGTATCAGGTCTAGTATCAGCTAATTTTGATGGTATCGCCTTCAGCACAAGTTTGGTGTAGTCTCATCCCTATAAAAAAAAATATTTTTGACAAAATAGGAAACTTAAATTTTTTTTTTTTTTGGCTCTTTGGGAAATCTCAAAAAGTTCATCCTATTTTTTTCATGTTAGTAACATAAAAAAATTAAATTACATAATGCATCGATTTCATAATGTAACCCTCATGTGAGATTTTGGTAAATTAAAATTTTCATAGTGAGAACTTTGTAAGAATTTACACTAAGATTACAAACTGTAAGGCATCCTGACGAATTTATTATACCATATACGTACCGAGTATGCATGTATACATACAATGGAACCTCTGTTTTCATATGCCCTAGTTTGTATACAAAACTATAGTTATTCTCTATAAAATGTATTTTGTATTAATAGTTTTGGATGTCTGGAACAGATTAATTGGATTTACATTATTTCTTATGGGAAATATTAACAAAAAATACATTTTATAGAGAATAACTATAGTTTTACATACAAACTAGGGATTACAAAAACCGAGGTTCCACTGTATATGTATATATTAATACACATACGTATATATATACGTACACACACACAGTACAGTATGTGTATGCAATAAAATGTAACGAACACTGATCACTGAGGGTTTTCTGCAGTGAGAGAGGAAAACTCACATGGAAACAAAAACAAGAAAGAATGGTTGTATTTTTCAACCTCTGGTTGAGGTCCTCTAAAAAGATACAAAGGAATGAGGAGAGCCATATTGTCAGGGTGGAACTTCTTGGTTCCTCAAGGTGCTTGATACCATCTCATAGTATTCTACCCTTTTATGAAAATAAAGGCATTGAGGTGACCTCTCATAATACACTGTTCTTGTTTGGAAATGAGTCTGAGTAATTGGTGTGGCTTAAGATGCATAAGAACAAAAAGAATTGAGGAGTACTGTGATAGGCATTTTATTCCATGCAAGGCTGGTCTGGTTCTTCACACTCAAATTGGCAGCCCTTAAAGGTTTTGCTGTGAGGCCTCTTGATGCAGATTCCTTGATGCTGGTGAGGGACTCTTGATCTAGGGAATTGGATCAGTACTCCAGTTCCCTGAATTAAGCCTGCATGCCTTCCATCCCCTTCCCCCACAGATGCTGTATGATTTCCTCTGGGTTTAGCGTTCCTGCGTGATGATGATAAAAATTTTGCTTGGAAGTAGTAGGTTGGCAGACAGCAACCACCCAGGGAGGTACCATCGTCTTGCCAAGTGAGCGTGAAACGGAAACCTGTAATTGTCTTACATGATGGTAGGATTGCTGGCATCTTTTTACTGCCTCATAGACACACAAGAAGACAGGTATATCTTGCTACTTCTACTTATACTTTGGTCACACTACACATGCATGTACATGCATATATATTTGCACACCCATCTGGGTTTTCTATTTTCTCAATAGTTCTTGTTCTTTATTTCCTCTTATCTCCATGGGGAAGTGGAAAAGAATTCTTCCTCTATAAGCCATGTGTATCATGTGAGGTGACTAAAAATGCCAGGAGCAAGGGGCTAGTAACCTCTATGTAAACTAAACTTAAAAAAAGAATACTATTTCGTTTTTCTTTTTTAGTGTCACCCTTCCTTGGTGGGATATGACCGGTTTGTTAATTTTTTTTTATTGTGTGTGTGTGTGTGTGTGTGTGTGTGTGTGTGTACTCACCTATTTGTGGTTGCAGGGGTCGAGTCTTAACTCCTGGTCCCACATGTGTGTGTGGATTCTTGATTAACCATTTCACTGTTCAGAGCCCCAATTTGGAACTTGTCCACAATGTTCCAGAATTTTCAAAAAAATTTTTTATTTTTTTTTATGAAATGGTAGAGAATCTTTTTCTGAAGGCAATAAAACAAAAGGTACCAAATTTGATCGAAAATTGACAAAATTACACTTTCACAAATTTTGCTGTCAGCAATATTTACGCATCAGTTATTTTTGCTCACTTTGAGTCCTATTTTAAGCTAATTACATTGTTCCAGTCGACCAGATTCTTAGCTATATCACTAGTATGTCTTCCATTTTATCTTCTGAGCATAAGAAATTGCCCAATCAACTATTTTAACTACCCAATAAAGTGATAATCAGGAAATTTGGCCAATTTCATACATTTCAAAATACAGCCTCTCTTCGCTTAACCCTTTCAGGGTCCAGAGGCCAAATTTCAAAGTGTGCACCAGGGTCCAAGAATTTTCCAACAAAATCTTTTTATTTTTTTCTTATGAAATGGTAGAGAATCTTTTTCTGAAGGTAAACAAAAAGTACGAAATTTGATGGAAAATTGTCGAACTTATGCTCTCGTGAATTTTGATGTGACAGTGATATTTAAGCATCGGCAATTTTACTGGCTTTGACTCCCATTTTAGGCCAATTACATTATTCCAGTGGACCAAATTCTTAGCTATTTCACTAGTATTACTTCTATCGATTGAGCACAAGAAATCGCCAAGTCAACTGTTTCAACTACAAAATAAAGTCATCGGAAATTGGTAATTTGGCCAATTTAATGCACAGTTCAAAATATTCCAGTTTCAAAATAGGGTCCAGAATAAACAATGCAGGCATTCCTGGCACTAAACTAACATTTTCTCTGTTCATTACATTTTTCAGGCTTTACAAATGAATTCCATTTTGATTTTTTATTCACATAATGAATTTTAATTCAAACCAAAAATAGAAGATTTACTGTTATGCAATATTGTAATAATTGTATAAATAATATCACCACATTTGTGTATGTATATTAGACCCACCAGCTGGTGTGTATTAGACGTGTGAGGTCATTTGTTTACTCTTGAACATCGCCAAAAATTTAACATTTCTGCCACTTTGAGCTCAGTTTCAAGTCATTTCCAGTACTAAAACCAATCAAAATCACCTGTATTTCTGTAATATATCTTCCTTTCTATCAAATGAGATCAAGAAATCGCAAATACAACTATAAAAAACGTACAAAAAACACTGCAAAGTCACTTAATTGAAAATTGCGGTGTTTTTTTTTCTCTCATGCACTGTGTGCTGCAGGATTTGTTTTATGTGGTGCACACATACCACATAGATGTATTCTCTCATATCTGGGCCCAGATTTACCACTCACAGCTTATCAGAGTGAGCTGAGCTCATGGTGTAGATCTACGGTTTGGATCTTCAACTCAAAGCCGTAGAACTACGGCACGGACCCTGAAAAGGTTAATGACGGAGTTCCGCTCCTAAGACCATGTTGGTAAACAAATTTGTCACTAAGCAAGGAGCATACTATAATGGTTGTGGGTTTGTGTCAACCATCTTTGATATTATTTTAATGTCACCTTTGCACCATTTATAACATTTTTAGTATATTTTTAAGTGTTTATACAGTAGTGTACTGTATATTGTAATAAACAGAAGAGAGGAAATTAGCTCTAATAAACATTACTTAGGTGTGCATACTGGTAAGAGAGCCCATTGTAAGTGAGGGTAGGCTATATTTCAACTCTCAAAATAGGGTCCAGAATAAATGCAGGCATTCCTGGCACTTAATAACATTTCCTCTGTTCATTAGTTACGTTCTCGGCTTTACACGTGAATTCTATTTTGATTTTTTATTCACACAAAAAAAATAAAGCTTTACTAATATGAAATATTGTAATAATTGTACAAATAATATTGCATTCGTTAAGGCTTGTTGGACTCGGATGTGACGTGTTTTTTCTTGAACAACAAAAATTGAACATTCCCGCTAGTTTGAGCTCAATTTCAAGCTATTTTCAGTCCTAAAATCAGTCAAAATCATCTCTGTTTCTGTAATACATCTTTCATTCTATAAAGTGAGAATACAACCATAAAACCCATACGAAAGTAGTATACCACAAAGCTGCTGTTTTAAACCAAAAACACGGCTGCAGTTTTTTTTCTTGTGCACCGCTTGCTGCAGGATTTTTTTTATGTGGTGCACACTGCATCAACCCATTCTTTTATATCTAGGCCCAAATTTACTGTTCACAGCTTATCTGAGCGAGCTGAGCTATCACATAGTACTATGGCATGGCCAGTGAACTCAAAGGCATGGTACTACAGCACAGTGAAATGGTTAAACTCGGTGCTGAGATGCGTCTTATAGTGCCTATTTGGTTATCACATCTGATTTGAAATTTCTTTCATCAGTGTTAAATTTTATGGCTTCAATTTATTTTTGTTTGTACAAGTCATCACTTTATAAATGTTGTTAATATTATCCCTGTTGATGCAGCGCTGTATAGCCCTTGTGGCTTAGCGCTTCTTTTTTATTATAATAATAATATCCCTGTTGATTGTGAGGTGCAGATTTTTAATAGGTTGGAACAGTGCAGAACTTTCATGACCATACCTGGCTGAGCACTTTTGTTCAATTATCTTACTCAAGATCCCAGTCAGTTACTCCTGCATACACTGATTTTTTTTTTTTGTGCATCTTCAAAAGACAGTTTCGTAATTTGGGTAGCAACATGTGAGCTCTGTGCACATAGAAACTGGCGGAGATCTTGAAACTAGGATAGTAGAACACAAACACATGAAAAATTTGTACAGTACCAACATATTAAATATTTGCACTGCACAATCAACTCAGATTGTGAAAACCATTACAAAATGAAAGCCCAAAGAAATGAAAATCAGTTGAAGTCCTATCAGACATTAACATTTAGAAATGTCAAACCTGATATAACCAAATATGCATTAAGAAAAGAAAACACATCCCACAACAGTGTAATCAGGCATCCATACAATAACCACCAAGATGCTCGCAGTACAACCTTAAATAAGGGCTGCCATTTTGATTGTAAAGCATAGGACATTGCAGTGCTCCTAAATTCTTTTCTTATACCACAGAATTACCTGTGAACTCAAATGCTCAAATATACAGGCTTATATAAAGGATCTGAGCACCTTCACATATTTAGAAGGATAGCCTACAGTATCAAAGAAATTCCACCCCAACAATGTGGATGCCAAGGAATCACCTGCCCTTATAAATGCTTGGTCTCTCTCCTCATTCCTTTGTATTGGTTTTAGAGGACCAACCTTAGCTAGAGGTCAACATATATTGACAATTGCTCTTGTCTTTGTCATGGATAAATCGATATCAACCAGATTGATTAAATGAACTGAGTTCCACAAAATTCAGCTAAGACTTAACAATAATAAGCAATAATTATAATGAAAAACTTTTATTTATAAAGTTACTACACACAGCAACAGTTAGCAACACATGGGCAAGGGATACTTCTAGGTGGTTTGGACATCCATTGCAGCCAACATCATTCTGAAAAGATAATAGGCTGAATGAGACATTTTGGTGACTACTACACTTTTGAATATATGTATATATACTGTATAGTGGACAAATGTGGGAGGGTATGTAGAAGGAAATTAAATGAATAAGAGTGTGCACAGTGATGAGGTAACAAAGTTTAGGTAATGACATTGAATATAAGATTGGAGTATGAAGTGTATATACATTTAGATGGTTTAGAAAGACACGTAAGCAAACACTATAACATATTTATTAGAAAACGTTTCGGTCCTGGGACCTTGATCACTTCTAACATACAGAGGTAGAAAGACATTATATATATAGGCGGAGAGTGAGGTGTGACGCACGTGACCTGAGGAATGTCATAAGAATGGAGGAACACTGTGGAAGGCCTACTGGCCCATGCAAGGCAGGTCCTTATGAAAACAACCTCTACCTATGATGAGGACGGGTAGACGATGAAATCATGTGACTCCTGTGTTGTTGGGTTGGTGCTGCTTAAGTATCATGTATGCCAATGTTTTTGAAATTTTGTAGTTTCCAGTGTTGCGTTCTATAGTGTCGGTGACGGCGATTAGTGAGGCTTCTAGGCACCGTCGGCGTCTGAGGTCTGGTTCGGCGAGAACGAGTTGTGCCTCATTCCAGTTCATCAAATGCCCCGTGGAGTCTCTGTGGAGGACGCAGGCGTACCTTACATCGTCTCTGTTAGAGGCATTTCGATGCTCATTCAGGCGGACTGCAAGATCTCTGCCTGTCTCGCCTACATATTTCTTGGGACAGAACCCACAGGGGATAGTGTAGACGCCTGCTGTAGAAGTTAGTGGTGTGGGGCTGCATTTCGTAGTGAGGTCGTTGATGTTACTCATAGCAAGTGCCCGGCGAGTATTCGTGGCAACATCGCCACATGGGAGTACTATGAACTGCTTAGGGGGCTGTTCCATGGGCGGTTTGTTGAGGATAGCTTGTGCCTTGAGTCTGCAATCTCTGATGAAGAAAGATGGGAACTGAAGACATGTAAAGGCTTGTGTTATGTAAGTGCATTCTTCTTCTAGAAAACAAGGGCTGGAGATGCGAAGAGCTCTCAAGAAGAAGCCAATGAGGACTCCTCTCTTAGTGCGGGTGTCTTGGTGTGAATAAAAGTGTATAAGATCGTCCTTGTTGGTAGGTTTTCTATACACTTTGAAGAGAAGTTTGTCACTGTCGGGAGATCTGCACAGTAGAACGTCGAGGAAAGGAAGTTTGCCATCATTTTCGAGTTCAAGTGCAAACTTTGTTGATGATTCAACTGCATTGATCTTGTTGAGAAGGGCCTGTATATTGAGACGTCTCGGATAGAAAACCAATATATCATCAACGTATCTTAGCCAGGTAACGGTGTTGGGAATGAGAGTGCTGAATTTCTCTGTCTCCAGGTTTTCCTTGAAGAGGTTGGCAAGCACAGCACTGAGCGGGCTGCCCATTGCCATCCCAAAGCATTGTTTGTAACAGTTGTCCTGATACTTGAAGTTGAAATTAACACAAAGTTCCACTAGATTGATGAAATCTAGAAGAGGTAAAGGGAGGTCGTGGTTTTCAGTGAGCCTCTGTCTCAGAATGCTGATTGCAGTGTCAGTAGGAACGTTGGTAAAGAGGGCTGTGACATCGAAGGAAGCCATGCTTTTGTTTTTGACATTCAGGTTGGAAATTCAGGAGAGAAGGTCACCAGAGTGTTTGAGGTGGGCTTGACTGATGGTGTGTATAGAAAACCTACCAACAAGGACGATCTTATACACTTTTATTCACACCAAGACACCCGCACTAAGAGAGGAGTCCTCACTGGCTTCTTCTTGAGAGCTCTTCGCATCTCCAGCCCTTGTTTTCTAGAAGAAGAATGCACTTACATAACACAAGCCTTTACATGTCTTCAGTTCCCATCTTTCTTCATCAGAGATTGCAGACTCAAGGCACAAGCTATCCTCAACAAACCGCCCATGGAGCTGCCCCCTAAGCAGTTCATAGTACTCCCATGTGCCGATGTTGCCACGAATACTCGCCGGGCACTTGCTATGAGTAACATCAACGTTCCACCATAACACATCTATCAAAGACCTCACTACGAAACGCAGCCCCCCACCACTAACTTCTTTCAGAGGCGTCTACACTATCCCCCGTGGGTTTTTGTCCCAAGAATATTTAGGCGAGGGAAAAGGGAGAGATCTTGCAGTCCCCCTGAATGAGCATCGAAATGCCTCTAACAAAAGACAATGTAAGGTACGCCTGCGTCCTCCACAGAGACTCCACGGGGGATTTGATGAATGGAATGAGGCACAAACTCGTTCTCGCCGAACCAGACCTCAGAAAGCCGACGGTTTCCTAGAAGCCTCACTAATCACAGTCACTGACACTATTTGAACGCAACACTGGAAACTACAAAATTTCAAAAACATTGGCATACATGATACTTAAGCAGCACCAAACCCCAAAAACACAGGAGTCAATGATTCATCGTCTACCCGTCCTCATCATAGGTAGAGGTTGTTTTGATAAGGACCTGCCTTGCATGGGCCAGTAGGCCTTCCACAGTGTTCCTCCATTCTTATGACATTCCTCAGGTCACGTGCGTCACACCTCACTCTCTGCCTATATATATAATGTCTTTCTACCTCTGTATGTTAGAAGTGATCAAGGTCCCAGGACCGAAACGTTTTCTAATAAATATGTTATAATGTTTGCTTGCGTGTCTTTCTAAACCAACTTGTTGGTATTTATTACCAAGGTTTATACCATACATTTAGATATTTAGGGGTGGACAATGTCCACAGATAGGTTAATGAAAGATAACGCTAACCATATTTACAGATTTGCAGAAAATTCGGAGTGTGGAAATTAGGAGAAGGTGTGGAGTTAATAAAAGTATTAGTCAGAGGGCAGAAGAGGGGTTGTTGAGGTGGTTTGGTCATTTAGAGAGAATGGATCAAAGTAGAATGACATGGAAAGCATATAAATCTATAGGGGAAGGAAGGCGGGGTAGGGGTCGTCCTCGAAAGGGTTGGAGAGAGGGGGTAAAGGAGGTTTTGTGGGTAAGGGGCTTGGACTTCCAGCAAGCGTGCGTGAGCGTGTTAGATAGGAGTGATGGAGACGAATGGTACTTGGGACCTGACGATCTGTTGGAGTGTGAGCAGGGTAATATTTAGTGAAGGGATTCAGGGAAACCGGTTATTTTCATATAGTCGGACTTGAGTCCTGGAAATGGGAAGTACAATGCCTGCACTTTAAAGGAGGGGTTTGGGATATTGGCAGTTTGGAGGGAATGTTGTGTATCTTTATATGTGTATGCTTCTAGACTGTTGTATTCTGAGCACCTCTGCAAAAACAGTGATAATGTGCGAGTGTGGTGAAAGTGTTGAATGATGATGAAAGTATTTTCTTTTTGGGGATTTTCTTTCTTTTTTGGGTCACCCTGCCTCGGTGGGAGACGGCCGACTTGTTGAAAAAAAAAAAAAAAAAAAACGCTAACCATAGAATAGGTGAAGTGTGGGGCGTATTGAAAGTATGGAGATAAATGAAATGTATTAGTATTGGTAGAACTACCAACAATATGTTAAGTAAAAGGCCAAGTGCAACTAATGTGACATTTTATTGTGGCAACATTTCACTCCAGGAGCTTTGTCAAGCCGTTACAAACAATACATGGACACGTAGGGTATGCATAGGTGAAAATTGAGACGCGCGCAACATTTGGGTATATATGTAGGATCTGAGTGAGGTGTAGTACAAAGAGGTAGTAGTATAATGTAGTGGAAAGTCAGCTGGTACATGAGAAAGAAAGGTTACAAAAGCTATGGTGTGGGTAGCATAAAAAATAAGTTGGGCAAATGTATATGGATGGATATGAGAAGGCATGTATCAGTGTCCCTCCTCTATTACCTAAGAAAGGAACGCTGGAGCAGGCCTGTTGGCCCAAACCGGGCCTCTCCTTTTATGTAGTAGCAATTATGTGAAGGCAGGGTTTACTGTTTTCAGGTTTCTCACTAAGACTTCAGAGATGATGAATTAAGAGGGGTGGAGATTGCTTGGGCATGGAGGGAAATAGGTTGACAAAGAGGGTGTACAAGTCTGAAGTAGGGGTAAAAGCTTTGAGTTTTAGAGGCTTCAGCAAGTTTGTGTGTTAGGAGTTAATGGAGCCTTAGTGGTTTTTAATGGATGTGCAGCTGGTGAACAGTAACTTTTATGAAGGGATTCAGGGAAACCAGTTAGCCAGGCTTGAGTCCTGGAGGTGGGAAGGGCAGTGCATACACTCTAGAGGAGGGGCTGGGATGTTGCAGTCAGAGGGTGATCTGATTTGTATGTCAGCACACTTAGGGAAAGATGGCAACTGTTTTCTTTGGGTCACCCTGCCTTGGTGGGAGATGGCTGTCAAGGCAGGGTGACCCAATGAAGAAAACAGTTACTATCATTCATTCAACTGCCATCTTTCCAGAAGTGTGCTGACATCACAATTGGATCACCCTCTTGGCTACAATATCCCTACCCCTCTTTCAGAGTGCAGGCACTGCCCTTCCTTCCTCTAAGACAAGTCCAGCTAACGGATTTCCATGAAGATTACATTGTTCAACTGCACATCCATTAAAAAACTCGTCTCTACTGGTTCTAACATGCACAAACTTGCTGGATCCTCAAAACCTATCCTTCCTACCTTCCACCCCAGATTTATATACCCTCATCCTATCCCTCTCCACCCTCTAAATGGCAAAATCACCTCAACCCCTTCCCAGCCTTCTTGGTAAATCCACACCCTGTATAATCACACCATAACTTGCCCTCAAACACATCTCCACTGCTTCTAACCCTCTTGCTGCAACATTCAAGGTTGTGCCTCACACCCATACAAAAGTGGTAGTATACTCTTGTATATTACCTTCATTTCTTCCTTCATTGGTAAACTACTACCCAGAGATGCATTAACACACCATCTACTATTCCCCACCCCACTCCTCATCTATTCCATGGTTCACCTTATCTGATATTCA